TGACAATCTATTCCAAAGCATTAGGGGGTTTTCACCCTCAACATGTTGACAAGCATGTGCACAGTACAGTTGAGTTAATAAAATGAATATGTTGCGCACCGAAACACCGATCACCCTCTCCACGTGAATTCTGAAATGTGCTATGTGCCCAAGTCACCCCACATCTTTTTGCTCCTCAAGCTGAGCACGACCCCGGGTGATGTAGGTGATATACCCTTCAGCAAACATCATGCCACATGATCTCTTATATTAACAGCCTCTATCTGCAGCACAATGTCACCTGGTAACAGCTTGTTCAGGAAAAACCACTTTGCAGCGGTTATACTGCTTGTCGCTTGTGCCCCCCCCCACCCGTTCTATATGAGGAAATATACACCCAGGTCGTGATCACGATTAAGTATTATTCATAGTGTCTGCGTGATTGTATGAGAAAAAGTCTGTGCCCCTTTCTAGTACCATTGGAAGGTTTCTCGATGAACAACCTCAAGGCAGTCCACAATGCAGCCACATTGAAGCCTATTGAGAATGAGGAGTTGACGTCACGGCACAGAGTCCCCCCTCCCCATCCCCCCTTTGCCGACATATTGGCTGCGCACCGGTGGCGGCAGTACAGTTTGTTTACGTGTGTTGTGAACGCGGTAGTAGCGGAGGTTCTTGCTATTCCGCACTGTTTTATCATGCCTGGAAATAACTGCTGCGTTAAAAACTGCTCCAATACCTCCCACGATGGATATGGAAAACCTAGTAACAACGGGATACAGTTTTTTAGGTTACCGAAATGGAAAAAGCATCAAGGGGAGCAATTCTCTGACCTGACAAGGAGACGTCGGATTGCTTGGTTGGCTGCAATTAGAAGAAAGGACCTTACTTTCGATCACACACCCCTGTCGACGAGAGTGTGTTCTCTGCATTTTCACTCTGGTACGTTCTCTAAAAATGTATTTATGTAGTTGTCTCTTAAAGCTAGGAAGTGTAGGTTAGCATATGTTATTATGGTTTCTGTAGTGCCTTTGTCTCTGTGTCTTTGTTACCCTCTCAGGCTGTTTCTTACTTAGCACGTGTTCTGCGAGGTCTTTGCCAGTGTAAAGCATAGATTACATAGATTGTACACATAATCTAATTATTCTGTTGTACATAAACCTTCATATGACATTATGAGGTGACCTAAAAAGTACTTGAGATGCTGTTCATGACATAGTTGCCAGTTTAAAGCATTGATTACATAGATTGTGCAAATTATTATATTAATTATATGTTGTTATTATTCTCGTGTAGGTAAACCAGCATATGAGATGTTGGAGAACCACCCTGACTGGACACCATCCCTGTTGTTAGGCCACAATGATGTACAAAAAACAGATGAAGCGAGATATCAGCGGCAAGTAAGGCGCAGGTCCCTGCCACTGGAGCGGCAGCCACCTCCAGCCCAACACCAGCCGCAGGCGCCGCCGCCTCCAGCCCTAGACCAGCTGCAGCCGCCACCAGCCCTAGACCAGCCGCAGGCGCCGCCGCCACCAGCCCTAGACCAGCCGCAGGCGCCGCCGCCGCCAGCCCTAGACCAGCCGCAGGCGCCGCCGCCACCAGCCCTAGACCAGCCGCAGGCGCCGCCGCCACCAGCCCTAGACCAGCCGCAGGCGCCAGCCCTAGACCAGCCGCAGGCGCCGCCGCCGCCAGCCCTAGACCAGCCGCCAGCTGACCCGGACATGGAATGTGGACTCTGCACATCTAGACGAGATGTTATCAACAATCTTCTTGAAGAAAACAGACAGCTGAAGCGTGAGCTTGATACGTACCGGATGAATGAGAACTTTCTGAGTGGTGATGATAACACAGTGAAGTATTACACGGGGCTTCCAAACTTTGCATTGTTCCAGACACTTCTACTCTACCTAACTCCAGATCTGCCTCAAGGTAGAATGAAGAAGCTCTCACCCTTCCAGCTTGTCCTATTGACTTTAATGCGCCTCAGACTGGACCTTCCAATACAGCACCTCAGCCATCTGTTTAGAGTACATAGGACAACAGTCGTCGATGCCTTTCACCATACCCTTGGTGTGATGTACGCACACATTGTGCTGGCAGATAGAGGCTTTAATATAAGAGAACATGTGGGCATGATGTGTGCTGAAGTGAAAATACCTACATTCACCAGGGGTCGTGCTCAGCTTGAGGCGAAAGATGTGGAGGAGACTAGGGCCATAGCACATCTCAGAATTCACGTGGAGAGGGTGATCGGTGTTGTGCGCAACAAATTCAAATTCTTACACTCAACTGTACATGTGCACATGCTTGTCAAATGTGAGGGTGAAAACCTAATGCCTTTGGATAAGATTGTCATTGTTTGCTGTGCCTTAACGAACATGTGCAAAAGTGTTGTTTGAGTACCTTATTCTTTACTGTATCTTTTATTTTTAAATAAATGCATGAAACAACTTGATATGGTTTACCAATATTTATTGAGAAATGAATATTTTTTTTGTTACAAACGTGTGCATTCAAAGTACTGTTTCCAGCATGTAAACATGCACAGCATAGGCAAAAATGATCATAAGAGTCATACTTTTCTTAGTGCAAAGGGACACAAAACACTGCAAAACAACGTGTGCATTCAAAGTACTGTTTCCAGCATGTAAACATGCACAGCATAGGCAAAAATGATCATAAGAGTCATACTTTTCTTAGTGCAAAGGGACACAAAACACTGCAAAACAACGTGTGCATTCAAAGTACTGTTTCCAGCATGTAAACATGCACAACATAATAAAATAAATTATAACATAAATAATAATAACAAATAAGACTGTTATTAGTGCAAATGTACAAAAAAACACTGCAAAGGCACACAGCAATAACAATAATACAATTTTAAGAAATAGGAAAAACCTATTCTGCACAACAAGGGCAAAACCATGGCGTGTCACCAGAGGGTTTATTAACAAGCCCCACACAACTGAAGTGAAACCACTGGACTGGGCAGTTCTGGTTGTCACAGGCCACCATGTCACCCTCCTCTGGTCCAGAACAGAGACACCACACTTCCTTGGCTTTTTTGGCTGGCTGCCTTCGCGGCCTCTTCCCACCTACTTGTTGTGGCTGTGGCTGCTGTAGTTCACGTAGCACACTGTGACCAGGTGATGGTTGACAGGTGGGGATAGCTGTTGTCACCAGCTGGAGGCTTGTAGATGACCAAGTCCTGCACCCAGCCACAGCAGAAAGTCTCGTGGCTTTTAAACTCCTGCATCGTGTAGTAACTTACACCAAATACAAGGTAGTTTACTATGTCCATGTATGTGCACGGAGGTAAATGGTCCAGGTTTCTGTGCCATTCCGCTGCAGGGAGCTCGTATGGGTCGATGTTTTTGATGTCCGCAAGCTTCTCCAAATACCTCTGTTTTGCGCTTGGTATGAGCTTGTTCCTGTACGGTCCCTTCTCTTTCGCCTTATCTCTAAGCATTGTTTTACTGTCTTCCTTTCCCTTGTTGTATCAGTAGATCCGTCTCTGTCTCGCCGAAAACGTAAATGCGTATAATTTAAAGTGCTCTGGATTATGAGGAGCGCGTGAAATTCTGGGGGCGTGCCCCCGTTGCGCAGCCAATATGTCCGACAGGCTCAGAGCCCCCCCCAAATCACCCCAACTCGGCACGTGACTCCTCATTCTCAATGGGAGCCAGACATGCATATTTCAGAGTAGGTAAACGACAGATCAGTGACATTTCTCTATCATACGGCCACGATGATCTGAAGTTTTACCCCCAATTTTCATCACACAGACTTCTACACGTCATTTAGCGCCACCTGTCGGAAAGTAATAGGGCACTAGTCCTCGGATTGGCCCTAAAATCGCTGAGTGTAATCTCTGGACCGAGACGAGCCAAACATTACTTTACGCAAATGTTGTCAGTCCCACAACTGACCACTGGGGGCGACACGAAATGTTTGAACGAGCTTTTTGAGCACAGTGTTTGTCCAATGAGGATAGAAATGTGTTCACAAATACAGCGTATGACTGTGAACACAACGATATGCAACACAACAACAGCGCCACCTACAGGCAGTTCAAGGTGTTGTGTTTTTTACCCAGGTTTTTATCACACAGACTTGTACCATGTCATTCTCCATCTGGACGGATTGGAGAATTACAATTTTCAAGAAATAGTTAGATATTCTTCACTGTTTTCATGCGAAGCGGTGGGGAATTTCTTTATATTCGATCCTCTCTTGGCCCAGGCTCAGACCTACAGAGATGAACCTCACATCACTAACAGTTGGTCATGGCCTGAGCCTAATGTGGGAAAATACAGTGGGAAAAGTGGGAAATAATATGACATTGGAGCGCCACCTATGGAAGGCTCCCGACCTAAACTTTCCCGATCCTCACCAAAATCTTGCTATCCACTCAGCCACCGTGCGAACTGGTTAGAACTGGTGAGTAGTGTTTTGCTTTTCTAGTTTTTAAAAAAAAAAAAAGCCCTACCATTAGTTTTCAATGAGATGTTAAAATCACATGTTTTATAATCAGACGTTTTGCGTTTATTTTCTTCTTACTCACTTTACAGGGTCACATTGTCCCAGAGCCTCATGCTTCACAGATGTAAACAAACAACTATATATTTCTGCACTAGAAGACACAATACTTTTGCTTATTTATTTTGCTCAAATTATATTTTACTTTATTTCAGTATAGAGTTATTGTTCAAATATCTTCCAACACTGAAATTTCCCCACTGTGGGACTGATAAATCTTAATCTTATTTTTTACAACCGTAAAGAGCAGGACACTGTATAATTGAGTTTGGTGACATCTAGCGGCCAGAATAGAAAGTGCGTCCAAAGACCAGAGTTGTCGTCTGGAGCGTAGACTGTCCCCGGTCCCTCCCCCTCGGTCCGTGCGTCCAATCCCGTCTCCTCTCCACCTCTAGCCCCGCCTCCTTAAACTCTTCTTTCCCCCTTTTCTCCCGAACGCTGATGTGTTACTAACTTACTACAACCAAGTCTCCAAAATGTTCAACTTTTGGTCCAAATTAGCGCTGCTTTTCCTCCTCGCCTTCCCCTGCGGCCTGGTCTCCTTCGGTAAGATTCTTAAAACTCCTTCAACAAACGATCACAACGCTTCATATCTTGTGCAATAATGTCTGTACGCACTAATAACACATTGACGTGGCAGTGGCAGTGTGTCCGGATTTCAATATATGTCTGTGAAGGTTTGCATACGCGCGATTCCACAGCCACAACGACAATTACGCATTTGGAGAACTTTTTACGCACGGCTGGGAATCAATTCAATCTCATTCAGCGGCTCGTTTTGAAGTATTGGCCGTAGAAGTAAAGTGTTGACTGCGTGTATAAACTATGAAATGTTCCAATATAAATGTGGATAATGCTGTTAAATGACCTAGACATTGTTTTGGGAGCGTTGTCGTTGGAGAAAACGGGGTCGCGCTCAGAGACACGTCACCAAAGTTACCCTTATCAATGATGACGATTGCTACAACTTTCTCCACATTTTTCCAACCTAATGTATCTTAAAGCTATATGTAAATGTGGTTAATAACTAAAATGACTGGTTAAGTATATTGTTAGAGGATACGTGTGTGCTGTAAGGGAACTATTGTCAAACTATTCCAGATGTGGTTCAATCATTGTCCCGTTTTTTCCTACAGAGATGGATCTTCAAGATGCATTTATTCATAGCTAAAAGCCAAATGTTCTGCAGTAATCTAGTGTTTTGAAACCGGTATTTTGACATAGTTGACTGAATGTCTGAAAATATACCTTATTATTATTACTATTATTCTTATTGTATTCTTTTATTCTTTTGTTATTACCAATATTCAATTCAATTGAATTTGTTTGTGTATAGTCATAAATCACAACAGCAGTAGTCTCAAAGGACTTTACTAAGTTGTTCATTTGTCGACAATAGATCAGAGAATCAAACAAATGCAATAATAACAAACATTTAGAAGCCATTGGTCCAGGTCTGAGGCTGTAGATCCAGGTCTGAGGCTGTAGATCCAGGTCTGAGGCTGTAGATCCAGGACTGAGGCTGTAGATCCAGGACTGAGGCTGTAGATCCAGGACTGAGGCTGTAGATCCAGGACTGAGGCTGTAGATCCAGGACTGAGGCTGTAGATCCAGGACTGAGGCTGTAGATCCAGGACTGAGGCTGTAGATCCAGGACTGAGGCTGTAGATCCAGGACTGAGGCTGTAGATCCAGGACTGAGGCTGTAGATCCAGGACTGAGGCTGTAGACCCAGGACTGAGGCTGTAGACCCAGAACTGAGGCTGTAGACCCAGAACTGAGGCTGTAGACCCAGAACTGAGGCTGTAGACCCAGAACTGAGGCTGTAGATCCAGGACTGAGGCTGTAGATCCAGGACTGAGGCTGTAGTTGTTTTACATTTGCATTTTGTATAAATGTGATAAAAAGGTTGTTTTATTTATTTTTTCCCTCAGCTCATGCGGATGCTGAGGCCGACTCCAGTGAAGATCCAGATGTTGCTGTAGATGAAGAGGAGGAAGAGGAGGAGGTGGTGGAGGAGGACCAGCTGCAGCCGACTGTGAGTGTGGAGAAAAATACTGTGTGGTTGTATCTATCTACTTAGCTGGGTCTGTGGGCGTTAGGAGACAGACCAACACATGAGTATAGCCAGAGTATAGCCAGAGTATAGCCAGAGTATAGCCAGAGTATAGCCAGAGTATAGCCAGAGTATAGCCAGAGTGTAGCCAGAGTGTAGCCAGAGTGTAGCCAGAGTGTAGCCAGAGTGTAGCCAGAGTGTAGCCAGAGTGTAGCCAGAGTGTAGCCAGAGTGTAGCCCGAGTGTAGCCCGAGTGTAGCCCGAGTGTAGCCCGAGTGTAGCCCGAGTGTAGCCCGAGTGTAGCCCGAGTGTAGCCCGAGTGTAGCCCGAGTGTAGCCCGAGTGTAGCCCGAGTGTAGCCCGAGTGTAGCCCGAGTGTAGCCCGAGTGTAGCCCGAGTGTAGCCCGAGTGTAGCCCGAGTGTAGCCCGAGTGTAGCCCGAGTGTAGCCCGAGTGTAGCCCGAGTGTAGCCCGAGTATAGCCACAAGTGTTTCAGAGCAGTTTTGGACTCGCTGCTGTTTCCAGAGCATTCAGAAGTAAACTTTATGAGTAGTTTGTAAAAGTCGAAACATTCCCTGGAGTCGACTGCAGGTGTTCAAGGTTGTTTTGTTGTGTTTCTCAGGAGGATGAAGAGGAGGAAGACGAAGCGACCGACCCTTCATCACTGAGCTCTCATCCAGACGCAGACACCACCATCGTCTTCACCACCGGAGAAGGTCTCAGCCTCACACTCTACAGCACGGCTCCAACATTTACTGCTTTAGACACTCTCAGGGAAAAAGTGGGAGGGCTTTTGTCTTGATTTAAATACATTTTAACGTTCTTAAAAAAATAAATGAAAGTATTTTCAAATGGAACAACCAGCTTTAGTCTTATGTTAATCCTGGTAAAGCTAATTTATTATTTGTTCCATTGGAAAATCTCAAGACTGTCAAAATGTTCTATAATTAATTCTGGTACAATGTTGCCATACCTGCATGGGAAAGCCAGATCCTGTCAGACCTAGGGGTGGGAACCTAAGGGTACCTCACGATACGATACGATACACGATACAAAGCTCACAATAACGATATTATCACGATAACGATATCACGATAACGATCTTATCACGATAACGATCACGATATGACGATTATCGATATATTGGTCAGAAATATACAATATGCCAATTTATGGCATAAATAAAAGAAAAAATACACTTTATTTCATGATAAATAGAATGGAGATGCGTAATGTAGCCATATATTAAGTATTGATACCAATAAAAAAAAAATCGATATCGATACTTGGCAAATGCATATCGATAATCGAACGCAGGAGAAAGTATCGCGATATATCGAAAAATCGATATATATCGTCACACCCCTAGTCAGACCTCTCTCTGGTCTCTCTCTCTGGTCTTTCTCTGGTCTCTCTCTCTGGTCTCTCTCTCTGGTCTCTCTCTGGTCTCTCTCTCTGGTCTTTCTCTGGTCTCTCTCTCTGGTCTTTCTCTGGTCTCTCTCTCTGGTTGTTCTCTGGTCTCTCTCTCTTTCTCTGGTCTCTCTCTCTTTCTCTGGTGTCTCTCTCTCTGGTCTTTCTCTGGTGTCTCTCTCTTGTTTTTCTCTGGTCTCTCCACATAGATTCCATATTTTCCATAGAAATTGATCCCAGACCTGTGACACTAACTTCCTGCTGTGTCCCTGTGTCCGCAGAGTTCTTGGCCAATGAGATCGTCCGGTTCCTGGTCGGATTCACGAACAAAGGAAGTGAAGATTTCAGCGTTCAGTCTCTGGAGGCATCATTCCGTTACCCACAGGACTTCCAGTTCTACATCCAGAACGTGAGTGCCCGCTACACTACAAAACAGTACTCGTAGAGCACAGACCACCGCCGAGAGGCACAGTTCCATCAGTTCATTGGCTGAGAGCTGATTGGCTGATGGTCTGATGTGTGGATTCCTGTGTGTGTTCAGTTCACGGCGCTCCCACTGCAGACCCTGGTGAAGCCTCAGGTCCAGGCCACGTTCGAGTACTCCTTCGTCCCGGCGCTGCAAATGGCCGGACGCCCCTTCGTCCTCGTCATCCTCCTCAACTATCTGGACACAGAGGTGAAGCTGCCTCCTCTTTGTAGTTCTTTTTATACAACATTTTATACTTTGAATACATGTTATACATCTGCACAACACGTATTACAGAGGGGAAAATACATTAATGTGGTTTGGATTGGCTGAAATAAATGGGCTCTCTCTGGTCTCTCTAGTCCCTTTTTGGTCTCTCTTTGGTCTCTCTCTGGTCTCTCTCTGGTCTCTCTTTGGTCTCTCTCTCTGGTCTCTCTCTCTGGTCTCTCTCTGGTCTCTCTCTGGTCTCTCTCTGGTCTCTCTAGTCCCTCTTTGGTCTCTCTTTGGTCTCTCTCTCTGGTCTCTCTCTGGTCTCTCTCTGGTCTCTCTCTGGTCTCTCTAGTCCCTTTTTGGTCTCTCTTTGGTCTCTCTCTGGTCTCTCTCTGGTCTCTCTTTGGTCTCTCTCTCTGGTCTCTCTGTCTGGTCTCTCTCTGGTCTCTCTTTGGTCTCTCTTTGGTCTCTCTCTCTGGTCTCTCTCTCTGGTCTCTCTCTGGTCTCTCTCTGGTCTCTCTCTGGTCTCTCTAGTCCCTCTTTGGTCTCTCTTTGGTCTCTCTCTCTGGTCTCTCTTTGGTCTCTCTTTGGTCTCTCTCTGGTCTCTCTCTGGTCCCTCTGGTCTCTATCTGGTCTCTCTTTGGTCTCTCTCTCTGGTCTCTCTCTCTGGTCTCTCTTTGGTCTCTCTTTGGTCTCTCTCTGGTCTCTCTCTGGTCCCTCTGGTCTCTCTCTGGTCTCTCTTTGGTCTCTCTCTCTGGTCTCTCTCTCTGGTCTCTCTTTGGTCTCTCTGGTCTCTCTCTGGTCTTACTTTGGTCTATTGCTCTCTGGTCACTCTTTGGTCTCTCTTTGCTCTCTCCCTGCTCTGTCTCTGCTCTCTCTCTGACATCATCAGGACTGAGGCTGTAGATCCAGCACCAAAGGCCCCTAGGCAGGAAGTGGGTGCAAACCATTAGTCCGGGCGAGGTGAGACCAGTTCACAGGTGCAGGTTGAAGAGGCCGGGTTCAGGGGTTTCACCATTAAACAGAAAATGGGACAATAGCAATGAACAGACTGCAGGTGACGTCTTAATAATGACAGATTCTGTACAATTGGATTTATCTGCCTCCAGAATCCAGATCCTAACCAATCAGAGCAGTCACATTACAACACAAGATAACGGTGAAAGTTTGAAATGATGTCGTTGCTAATGGTCCTCACTCTCGATGGTCTCGATGGTGACGTTTTACATACGACAAATGTCAAATGTGGATACAGTGTTTTTGTTTATCTTGTGAGTTTCTTTTGGTCATATTTCTAAACATTTGCTTTTGTCTTTTTAGGGAAACTCTTTCCAAACGGCCATTTACAACCAGACCGTGACCATCACAGAGAAAGAAGAAGGACTGGACGGAGAAACGTAAGACTTCACTCAGTGCAAGATAACTATTGAACCATGACTCTGGTTGATTGTTGAAATTGTAAGGATATAGAGTGCTCTCTCTCTGGTCTCTCTCCCTGGTCTCTCTCTCTGATCCCCCTCCGGTCTCTTTCTCCTCTCTCTTTCTTGTCTCTCTTTGTTGTCTCTCTCCCTGGTCTCTCTCCCTGGTCTCTCTCCCTGGTCTCTCTCTCTGGTCTCTCTCCCTGGTCTCTCTCTCTGATCCCCCTCCGGTCTCTTTCTTGTCTCTCTCTGGTCTCTCTCTGGTCTCTCTCTGGTCTCCCTCTGGTCTCCCTCTCTGGTCTCTCTCTGGTCTCCCTCTGGTCTCTCTCTGGTCTCTCTCTCTGGTCTCCCTCTGGTCTCTCTCTGGTCTCTCTCTCTGGTCTCTCTCTGGTCTCTCTCTCTGGTCTCTCTCCCTGGTCTCTCTCTCTGATCCCCCTCCGGTCTCTTTCTTGTCTCTCTCTGGTCTCTCTCTGGTCTCTCTCTGGTCTCTCTCTGGTCTCTCTCTCTGATCCCCCTCCGGTCTCTCTCTGGTCTCTCTCTGGTCTCTCTCTGGTCTCTCTCTGGTCTCCCTCTGGTCTC